CCAAAATGCTGTTAGCCCTAGAATGGAGAGCTTCTGAGGAGAGATGGGGCAAGGAAGTGAAATACTTTCAGCCTGGAGATGAGAAAAAAGAAGAAACTTAATAAAAGTGAATCTTACATCTAATAAATTGGAAAGAGAACAGCTGTTCTCAATCTCTGGTAAAGAGGGAGCCAGAATTTATGCCAGAACATGAAGCATAAGATAAAAAGAGGAAATTCCTAATCTGGTTAGAGATGAAGATATCATCAAAGAAAGCTGTGAGGTTGCCTTTACTGGAGGTCTTTACAAAGAGATTTTTTTGTTTCTCTCCAGTAGTTCTTCTTAAATTACGTTTTATTTAACATATTTCTAGAATTTTAGAAAAACCTCACCTAAGGTACCTGTACCAACCATTCAACACACACACACACACACACACAGCAAATACTGTTGGGGGAGAGAGGCAGTAGGCTGTGCTCAGAGCAACCCCCCACCAGGTTTTGGAGGTGGGGGTGTGACTGGAGTGTAGAGCAGAGCAGACCCTATGGTGGGGAAGGATGTGTGTTCTGAAGTCACACTACCTGGTTCCAGTCTCAGTTCTGCCACTTGTCACACCAGCTGTGAACCTGACAAGTGACTTGAGGTCCATGTAACACGTGCATACCATTCAAACGTGCTACGCTTTAGCACAGGGCTTGGCCCACTGTAAGCTTTCAAGAAATGTATTTTGTGGTAGAGCCCGCTGTATCCCTGCTCTTCATTGGCACACAGCTAGACTGTCCCAGCATCTCTTGTGGCTTGGCAGGTGGCATTGACTGAGTTCTGACTCACGGGAGGAAGTGATGTGTGACGGCAGTTCTGGCCCTTTAAGACTTCCTACACATCTGCTTCCATGCCCTTCAGCCCTTGGCTTGATGCAGATGAGCAAGGAGAACCTGAAAGCCAAGAGTTGAAAAGGACAGCACCACAAGAGGAAAAGAACTGGGGCTCGCATTGTTGCTTGAAGAAGAGCTATTCACTGATGGGGAAAACCCATTGGAAACTATTACATGAGAGACAAGTAATCTTCATTCTTTTGAGCCACTGGCATTTCAGCTTTGTAGGTCACAGTGGCTACCATCATACCATAACTTATCTAGAGAACGATTAAGGACAGTGGCCTTGGGGGTGGCTTCTTCGGTCTGGCATGAATTGATGTTTCTTTCCATGCTCCAGAATGGACACCAAAACCACTGGCCATTTTCCATATGACATCAGCCCTACGTGAAGTAACATGAGGTGCCCCATGCAGCACAGAAAAAAGTCCCCTGCTATGAGTAAACATTTGCTGAATGAATGAATGACCTTCATGCCAACTCTTACAGACACGAAAGGGTATGATTCAGTATTTTATGAATAATCTATCTTGTTTGCTACGTATTTTACTTGTATTAAACACTAAATTGAATCAGATAGTATTTCTTTCTCTGTATGCCATTTCTCATCAACTTTTTTGGCACAGGATATTATTATTTAATTAACGTGAAACAATATATATCAACATTGATAAGAAGTTGGTATAGTAAGCTGAAAAATTCCCCTTTTCCTAGCTGGAAAATTCCTGATCATTTGGGTCTCTTCTACTTCCAAAGCAATGGCCAAAGATGAGAGAATAAGTTCCTTTGTTCCTCTGCCATGTGCCTTCTTCATGATCCCATGGCAGTCCCGTGGGAAACCCTGGTGGTCACTCTCTTTGATGCTTTTCCGGGGCACTCAAGCAGCTTTCACATCATGAGCCTTTTTCAACTTGAAGATAGCTTCTGACTTCATGTTCAACATGTGAATCAGATGCTGAGCAGTCGTGTTGGGTTGGGAAGTCTTTGTCCTAATTCACTGAAGTCCATCTTTTTCATGAATGCGTCATGTCTATTTCCTGTCAGTAAGACAGTAATTGCTAACTTCCCATGGAACACATTTTTCTAAAACCAATTCAAAGACATCTCTCAGCACCCTCTCTTGATGAATAAATAAGTAATTGGATGTTGACATGATGGTTAGATGGATGTGCATCTTCAGTAGCCTCTACACCTACTTCTCAGAGCCCTAGGAACCTCAGAATCTTTGTGGGCCTCTGGAGACTATGTTTCAGGAGTTTAGAATTTAGACCAGGTGGCCCTCCAAATGGTCAGCTGTGCTCCCTAACCAACATTCCAAGTAACCCATATTGAAAAATTTATACTTACAGGCAAAAGCGTACAGACCATCTTCTCATAAATACAGAACTACTGGAAACAATCAAATAATGGGGGATGTTGTGCAAGAAGTATACCTCTTCCCTCTGGCATGATCATGGATGGTTTGCCTCGCTTTTCTAGCCTGTAAACACTGCCTGCTGTGTCATTTACAACTGGTCTGTGATTGGTTTTGAGAGCCTGTCATGGGCTTTCTTAGAAGCAGCAGCGTTTGAGGTTGGAATGTCAGCATTTGTTCATTCGAGCAGCAAGTCCAGCCAGTTGGCAATGACCTTATGACACTCAAATATTAATACGAAGAAACAATCTTTTTTTCATCTAAGGTGCTTATAGCAGATTCACCAAGGAACTTTCTTTACTGTGTTATTCATTCATACTGTGAGGAATACATTGGATTCCATCCCTTATAGCCCTGTAGGGAGAACTCATGGTGGCTTTTATCCAGCAAGTCTTGGCAGACTCCAGCTATACATTGTTATTTGATTAAAGATTTGGCATATGCGCTAAGATAAGCCTTTTTATGGCGTTATCCAGAATGAGCTTCCTAGTAAATGACACACCCCTCAAAGAATGCTTCCAAAGAGGCTGTCATAAAGCTTCCTGTGGGTAGAAATTTCATGTGCAGCCTGCTTACTTTATTTCATAAACCTGGTAGAATACCACTAACCCACTCCAGCATTTCTTGAACTCTTTCTGGATGTAGGGGTGGGAAAATCCACAGAGGTTCTGGAAGAGCCAGAGCGCTGTTTTGTGGTAGTTGGTGCAGATAGCAGTAGATCGCAGAAGAATGACTGGGAAGAAGGAGAAATTCTCTATGTTCTGGGCCCTCTCCTTCTTTTCCATTCTGCCTAGATTTTTGACTCAGCTGTAACAGTAAGAGAAAGACTGGACGAAAAGTGATGCAAGCAGCTGTTGGCCATAGCAAGCCTGCAAGAAAAGCTAAGGAGCCTTTTGGAACATGGAGAGCTGTCGAGTGATGAGAGATATGTGAAGCCATGGGGTTCTGCCTGAAAGGACACAGTGAATGCTAAGGACTCTGCCTGTTCAAGAGGCCATCAAGTCATGTCGGGAGGACTGAGTCAGCCCCACCTGGTCAAGCTCAGTCCCGCAGGAGACCTTACTGCTGGGGAGGAAGCCAGTGCCGCCTTCCTGCTGAGTCCCTGGGAGAGGCAGAGCCAGAAGACGGTCCTGGCCCAAAACTCAAACAGACTGGTCCCATCTCCTTTCCAGAATCCCCTCACTGCACGTTGCCCAAAATATCCCCTCTGGTTTAGCAAGACAGGGGCTCCCAGAAGGTAGACATCAGCAATACTGGAAGCTATCTTCAGGGTCAGGGATTAAGTTCCCTTCTGCAAATGCAATCTATGGGACTGTCTGGGAAGTTTCACTTGGGACAGCAAATCTCTCACAAGCATTTCAGACCAGCGGATTCTAAGGAGAGAAGCCACACCTCCCGGACTATAAGAATTTCCTGGGCAGAGTTTTACAAAGTCTCTTATCCCGCTCCAGCACCCAGGTCAGCAAAGTCAGAAACATCCTCATGCACCAAGGGCAGGAGATGCCCCTCACCACCTGCCAGCACCTCCAGGGCTCTCCCACGGCTGCTCTAAAGTTAACCACTGAGCTCCATACCCTCCTGGCTGGGGGGAGGGCCCCAGCAAGAGGACCTGTAACTGGCTGGGAGAAATAAAGAAGTTTCCTGCTCCTTTCTCTTAGGCTGAGACTTTGGGATCCACTCTAGGGGAGAGATGGGGCTGCGAAGGGGTCATTGCCCACCAGCCACATGGCCAGCTGTGGCTCACCATGCACCTTGTAGAGGAAAGGGTGCCCAGGAGCACGGAACAGAGTGTGGTGGCCCGGGTAGTGCCCAGGTTTGTCCAGCACCTGCAAGCAGAGATGATGGGGGATGGCTTGTAGAAGGTAGGTTCAAGGTGAGGGAGAGACAGAGAGACCTGGGCCATGCATCCTCCCATGGAAAAGACAGAACTCTCATCTTGTGTGTGAGCAGGAATGCAGGGAGGGGGAGAGGATGCTCTTTCTGCTCGAGGTGGTGTGTTTATCACTGTTCTCCTCTTTGGCTGAGGATAACTCCACAAGGGCCCTTCTTACAAAAAGAGCCTTCAGCTCCCTCAAATAGATACAGGAACCCCCAGGGATGTGTGCTCAGGCAGGGAGTGGATGCCAGAAGCTGTCATTAGGACATAGTCCCCTCATGCACAAGTGGCACTTGTCACCTGAGTCCCTTCCCCCACCCTCTCCTGCTGTCTTGGGATCCTCCCAGTGCCTTCCTCACTTCTGTCCTGCAGAATGCCCCAGCTCTGAAGTGAACAAAGATGGAGTGTGAAGAGTTTCTGAGCTGGGCCACGAGGGCGGGTAAGGCCAGGGAGAAGGGCCCCCGCCCCAGGCAGTGCTTGACCTTGGAAACTGCCAGAGGAGGGGGCGTGCTGATAATGTTCCACACAGAACAGGCAGGGAAATGTAAGATAAGTTCCTAATGCTTCATTCCTGACAGCACTGGCTTCTCTCTTTAGGCCTCTTACCCAGCCCCTACTGGACATAACAAATGCAGGGAACATTTCATGAAAAGAGCTCCTCTCGGTGTTGATCAGGGCTACTCAGATGCAGGTGATGCCAGGCCCTCCCCAAAAGTCCTCCAGCCAGCCAGAAGCTCCCCGCTCTCCTCATCGCCCTTCCCAAAGGGCTCATACCCAAATGTGGCATCTCTGAGGCCCCTAAATGTCACTTGCTCCTTTTCCCCTGGTTGATTTTTCCCTTTCAAAACAAAAGTACCTTCAAGTGACTGCACTTCCACCAGGAAAAAATTCTCAAGTGCTTTCAGCTCTGAAAAACAGAAAATACTCTAAAATAAAACCCATTGTTAGGCTGCCTGGAGCTTCTGCTCAGGGTGGGAGGTGGCGGAGAGACTCGCTCCTTCAAAGGCCTTTCCATCTGGAAGGGGCAGCGCATGGGGGTGTTTGGAAAACCCTGGGCACAGGAAATGTGAACTCTTAAAAAACAAACAAACAAACCAAACAACAAAAGAAAACTGCATTATTATCCAAAAGCGATCTGAATGGAACCACATGTGTCTTCTGGGTGAACAGAGCACTGGGCCTGTTCCTTGTGCCCTGGCCAAGCCCTACCCTCCCTGAATTTGAAACAGGCAGCCCTGGGCAGGCCCCCCCAGCCTTCCCCTACCAGCCCCCTGGGACCACTTCCCTGGGTCCCTCCCATCCTGTGAAAACCCCCTCACATCATGGCCTGTTGGATGAGCTCCTTCACCAACCTGTGTGTGAGCGACAGGCCTCTCGGGCCAGGCTCCAGTCTCAGCCGGGAAAGCTGGGAGTCAGCAGTAGGATTTGGGCAGGTAGAGGGAGGAGCCAGACTACGGGGCATCAAGCGCCAGGCCGTAAGCAGGGAACCCTGGAATAGCCTCTGCAAAGCCTCAGGAGTGTGGTAGGAACGAGAAGGGGCTTTTATTCTGGCCACCTGCTGTCTACAATCCTCTCCATTCCCCAGTCCGAACTGCCTCTAGACTTAGAGTAACAACTTATATTTGGAGAAAAGAACGTAAAAAATTATCTTTTACCTTTAGTGCCTAGACCAGAGGGCTCTTCTTAGCCTGCATTTCCCCCAGCGGAATGGTGCAATTGTAGATCATGTCCCCATCAGGCCAGACCTGCCCTTCATGGATAACCTTCTCTCTGAACCCTGAAATGGGGCCTGTGATGCTCCCAGTTGTTCTGTGGAAGTGGCCAGAAGAATGGAGCCCCAGGCGGGAAGCGTCAAAACTATCTCTGCACAGAGCTGCCTTGAGCCAAATGAGAGTTTCTGGAATTTGAACACATGACACAGACTCAACACAGGAACACATGGAACACATGGAAATGAGAGTTTCTGGAATTTGAACACATGACACAGACTCAACACAGTTGACAGAAGAGGGTGTCAGTGTTGTTCACAGAAAAAAACATTTTAAGGAAAAGCGTGTTTGGCCATTTCTCTGAGCCATAAACAAGCCAACACAAACTAAACAGGGGACTCCAGGGGCACTAGCCAGTAAACTAGAGTCAGGCCAGCTTCTCTGTCCCAGTACATTCTCTTATTCTGTACCTCCAGAGGGAGGGGTGAGCACGGAATGACCAAAGGAAAGGTTTCAGAGGAGAGTCTGCATGGAGTTGAACCTTTTCAAGTGATCTTTAAAAAGACCTGGGCAACTAAGAGCTCATAAGGAATTGTGAGATCTAAAAAGGCACCAGACTGCCGTGACCAGAAGGATCATGTCCCAGCTCTGGGGACTGTCTGAACGAGAAGCTTCCAGTTGGCCTGTTCTCAGAACTAGCTGGAGAAGGCCTGAGCTAAGGAGACAAACACCAGGTCCGGTCACAAGGCATCCACCGCTCTGTCACTTGCTGAGTGACTCACCTGTGCTGCTATGCTTTCCCACCTGTGAAATACGACGTGCCCTGCTGGTCCCACAGGGCTTCTGTGAGGATTGAACAGGACGGCATATATGAACGTATTCAAAAACACTGAGGCATAATAAAAATCCGGCAATAGGGTCCTATGGGACTGGCCCTTGACTGAAAAAAGTAATAAAAGTAATGTTTTCCTTACATGACAAAAATACTGCTAGGATTTCTGGAGCATTCTTCAAACTTGCTCACCACTGAAGTAGATCTCTATGGCTCTAGAAGCCAAAGAATGAAGCTCTCTTGTGGATGCATGAGAATCTAGCAGTGGCCTCATTTGGTTTTCCAGTCATGACCTGCCTCTCTGACCTGCTCACGATTGCTTTGTCCCTGGAATCCTAATCCAGACTGTGCATAATGATTTCTACATCATAGCTGGAGGCAGTTTTCAAATATTTTTTTCCCAATTCCTCCAGAGGAGGAACGCCATTTTTATGGACTGAAGAAGCTCCCAGAGGAAAGTTATGCAGCTCGTGAGGACACCCCTTCCCCCATTCCCTGTATCATTCAGGCATGTACAAGTTGGATCACCGTATTTGTTGGACAACTCCATACATTTGGGGCTACTCTGTTTTGTGCGGTTGCCCTTTGGGGGCTCTAAGTTCAGGCTGCCCACCCCCTTGATTGGGTGGAAGGTCTTCCTGAAGGGAAGGTATCGTTCTCTCTGGAGCCAGTTATGTGTTATTTTCTACACTTTCATTCTCTTCTATTATTCCTCAAATGTAATCAAGTCTCATTAACATTATACCCTGTTCTCTACCACATAACTGGGAATTAAGGAGACCGTCCGTCCACATTCCTGAGGAAGAGACCAACAGCAGGGTACCATCCCTAGAGCCATAATGTGGTCTGAGCAATGAGATACCCAAGCTCAGGTGAATCTTGGAGATGTGACCTCTGAGCTACAGCTGCCCCTCCCTCCACAGCCAACCTGGAGGATCTGGGACAGGCCTTTTTAAGATGACCTGAAGGTTCTCATGTGAATGTCAATCATAACCTGAGCATGTCTCAAAACTCAGTGGGTTTAGAAAGAATATATACTCATTTCTACTGTCCCCTTTAAAAAAAAAAGTTTTTATTTAAATTCCAGTTAGTTAACATAAAGCATAATATAGTTTCAGGTGTACAATAGAGTGATTCAACACCCCACTGTCGCCAGTCATTCCAGAGATTGGAACGACTCAACCTTACCTCTTGGCTGTGCCCATCTTCCATCATAAGCTCTAAAACTCTCCAAACAGTACTGGGACACAGTATAAATGGAAGAGATTTCATTAAACAGAATCCTTCCAATGTAATTACAAGGCCAAGAAACCATCAGCTCAGTTTCTAGCCTTGCATGTCTCTTCTTCTCCTCACTGGCACACCCCCACTGTGGATTACCTCAAAGGAGAGTCTTCCCAAGCTTCACTAAGGATTTCTGCCAAAGATCCAAGTTGTAATTTTGTGAGGAGATCCGATTCCATCTCCATGGTTTGAGTCTGAGTTTACTGCTTGCATTTGGTTTGAAGAGCCTTCCATGCAGGTGTTTCTGGTGCTTTATCTGCAAGTCACCGTGGTGCTAAATGGTAAATTGTGGCTGCCAGCACCAACTCTGCCTAGGGAGACACCGCAGTGCGGGTCAAGCCCATTTTCAAGGGGCTCAATGTCAGAATCAAGACCTACGGGTGAGACTTAGAGAAGGCAAGATTTTAGATGACAAATCGGAATCATTCTCATCCTTTAGGGAGCATATTGGGGAAAGCTAACAATGTGATCAAATAATAGCACTAACATTACCACTGCTTGTTAAGCATTTACTATTGACCAAGCATTATGCTAAACAATTTATGTGCTTTGTATTGATTGATATTCATAGCTAAATATTATTGTGTCCATTTTATGGAGGAGAAAACAAAGGCTTAACAAGTTTGCCTGGGGTCTCATAGCCAACAGATGGTAGAGCCAGGACTCTGGTCTAGTTCTATCTTCCTCTACTACTTGTCTATGTACCAACCCCCTTTGTAGGTTGCTATTTGCAAATACAGAAGATGGCCCAGATCAGTCTTGGCAAAACACAGTGTATCATTTCCTTTCTGCTGGCCTGAGAGTGATGTTTGAGAAGGTGTCTCTGGAGGTCGGAGGAAAATGAGAAAAATATGCTTTGCCTAAACCAGTACCCAGTTCAAATAAGATCAAGCAAAGAGATTTTATTTTGTATTATTCATATTATTATTTCATTCCCCAAACTACTCCCAATCTCAATCAGTGCCATTTGCAAGGAAGACTGGTCCACAGCAAACAACACCTGCCTAGCTCTACTCTTCACGGTCCCCTGCAAATTGTCTATCATAGCTTTCCTGTAGCCAAGACTCCAAGACTCTTAGGAGCAAGGTTGTATTGACATAGGTTATTGAGAGAATTCCATAAGCCAGAGCTGCAGGAGAATGAAGAAAATGGGCAATTTTGTATAAAACACGTTTTGCATTCCTGTACCCTGCTTCCTGCTCAAGTGACATCTGTCAGGCTGATGCTCCATGAGGATGCCATCCCTGAGCTCCTGAAAAGGGTCCCTGTAGGGATGAGCCTATTGTGTTAAAGCTTAAGTCAATTCCAAAACAACTTCCTATAGGAAATAAAAACTGGAAGAAAGAGAAAATACAGAGAATGTCTTTTAAAATAGCAGCTAAGTCATGCAGCATGGAAGTATGAGATTAGCAGTGAAAATCAGTTTAGTAGGCATGCGTTCACCTCTTCTCTGTCTCCACCCCTGCTCTGGAAAGGAGAAAATGGTACAGCTGGCCAGACTTTGGGAAACGCAGCCTGCGTGCAGTCTCATAAAGCATCCTGCAAGAACTAAGTATCTGAGAAGCAATTCAAATGCTATTGACAGAAACCAACTGGATTGTTTTTATGAACAAATCTAAATCATACCACATACTCAGGGCTGGTTTTGAAAAGAGGCCCCAAGACCTTTTTCTCCTACAGAGCCATGTGCTTCTCCACACACAAGCCTGGCTGCAGGGGGTGCCTTCCCGGCTGTGGGTGCTGGTGGTCTGTCTCCTAGAATGGGAGCAAGAGGCTGGCATTAAATGGCCCCCCAAGTGCTCATTTGACACATGTTCTTCTTTTGTTCCTCTAGGAAAAGAAAACGCATCTTCATGTCTGCATTTATCTCAACTGATTTGGTGGGTCTGAACCCTGAAAATGTAGGCCAGGTAGGGACCCCTTTGTAAGATATGCTCAACATAGAAAACCCGCATGGGTGCAGCTTGGCTGTGCTCTCAGATCCCTGGTTCCGAGCTCCACAAGCCTGGCAGGGTTCAGGCCTAACAGCAGCGAACAGACGATCGTTAACACATGGGCCACAGCAGTGGTAGAGCTTTCGAGAACCACCAATTGCCATCTGGGGTAGGGGAACCAAGGGAATCTGAGGGAGTGGTCTACTCAGAAAGACTAAAGTTCCAGACACAGGAAAGGGTCTTATTTCCTCTAGGACCTTTGGAAAACTTGGAGAAAATTGGATTTCAAAGCCTGACACCAGAACGGAGGCATGCTTTTCACTTCAAGCAGGAATTCCCGCAGTCCTGCTGAAGTCCTAGAAGGGAGGACATAACTCACCTCACCTGGCTGCCCCACGAGATCAAAGGCTCCCCTCACCCCCGGGGGTATCCGTCTGGGGGCTAGGTTCCTCGGACTTCTTCACAGACTCATCATTCTTTCCAGAGTGGACCCAGCTCTGCGTGCTGTGTGGAAACCGCCTGCTTACAAAACACTCTGACCATTGCCAGATGTGGGCACCTGGCCAGCTTTTACATAATTCAGGCTTTTCTTTGCTCAAGATGATACAATTTAAAGGAGCCTTAGAAGTTGGTGTGTTTTAACCTCCTCCCCACCTCCCTGCATGCTTCCCTTCATCTCTCAAGTGGACTCTCTCACCCAGCACGTGGTGGCGCAATATGGCGCGTGCTGTACCTCTGGACATAAGGCTGGAAGGAACAAGCCCATGCATCTCCCGTGCGCTTGCTCAAAACTAAAATAAAAATAACCGGGAAGATTTGCCATCTGCCTCCTATTGCCCAGACCTTGTTTTCCACACATGGCTTCCCCCCCACACCCCCCGAATTGTCAGCTCTCAAATACCCAGTTGGGCAGCTCCGTGCTCAGGAATGCAAGAGGGGAGGCAAAGCCCAGCATGGTGGAAGGAGATCAATTTTATTCCTGTCATCAGAAGTCATCTTTTCTAATTTAAAGTTACTCTTTAAATTGTAAGAAGATCAAAGTAGTGTACGGAGCCCTGTTAAATGAGCACCAACAAATTTATATTGTAAAGTCAGGGCTGAGTGGGGACTTTCCCGCTTGATCAAGCAAGGTCAGAGGTTCTGGGAATGTTAACTCCCATTTCATTTCTTCATTCAAGTGAGTCAGTCATATTGCTTTTTATGAGGATTCAAATCATGCTTGCTTTTGTCATCTGGGTCTCATCTGAAAAACTGTAGGGCAGTGGAAGCCACAAATGGGCTCTGAGACATGTGCTCAAGCATGTATGTGCAGGGATGTTTCAGGATGACAGAATCAATCTCTTCTCTCTGTCTCTCTCTGTCTCTGTCTCTCTCTCTCACTCTGTCTCGCTCATTCTCTCTCTCTCTCTCACACACACACACACACACACACACTACAGCTGACTCAGCCTCTCCCAGTTAGAACAGAATGTCAAAAATCCAACTGATATTTCAACTTTCCCTCCCTGTTGCCTGCATCCAACTGTAAGCAGCCAACAGAACGTGCCACTCATACACGGGAAACAGAATGTGCAGAGTTCTTGGGCATTGTGTTGTGTTGAGGAAGAGAGGCTTCAAAATGTGAATACAAAAATCAGAATTTACCTAGCCATCTCCAGGCACTTTGTACTGGCCATGAATTCTTCTTTGATGTTTTTTACTACTGGTAAATAATTAGGTTGATAAATAACCCTAATGGTTTCCCTCAGTTTAGCCAAGCTTAGAACCAGCTCTTTGCCTTCTTTCAAAATGCACACATATTTTAGGGGTCTGAAAAATGCTCAGAAAGAGTTTCTTTTAGTCTGCATTTTGGAGCTTATAGATCTGAACATCTGTTTCTCTAACAGGCCTTGAAACAGGATGGACAAGACTTCTCTCCAGAGTTTCTGGAATGACCAGTGTCAGGAAGGCTAAGAACCATCATCTAGATGTATGGTCAGCTTGATTTTGCAGACCAGTTTCAGGCCATGTGCAGTGGGATGTGTTTCAATCCAGTATAATTCTATCACTGATATCAATCAAGCTCAGAAAAACAAAAGGAGGAAAAAAAGGATCTTGTCCAGAAGCCTGTCCACAGACCAGCCTTGATTCGAGTTTTGATTGCCATACTGGAAAACCAAAGTGGCCATTTCATGATGAGGAAAACATTTCCTTGGTCAAACATAAACTGCTTTCAGATTCTGATTTACCCAATATGGGACCCATGGTGATGAGACATATGCTCTCTCATTTACCCCCTAGGGCAGCCCAGGGAAATGGGCATGGTTATTTCCCTTCCATGGATGGACAAAAGAACGTTAGGCTGGAGGCTGCCTGTAAAACCCAGTGGCGTCCTCTAGTGGCCAGGTATGCATGTCATCCTTCACACCTCCAGCCCCAAGAGTTAGGCAACCCTGCTTCCTGACCCTACCCTTGCCTCTCCAAAATCATTTTTCAAGAAAGTATTAGGGAAATTCCAAACTCCTCCAAATGTGGTAGCTACTGTTCCATGATTTCTCCTTGCATCTACCAAAAAAAAAGAGTCCAGTCTTGATTCTTGGGATGGTACCTGGTTTAATCCTAGGTTATCCTGGGGAGGAAGGCTGAAATATGGCTACCTTGGAAGAAAACTTTTCCAACAGAAGCAGAATGTCCATTCCAACAGAATGAAGAAACTCAAGTCTCTATAAAAACATCTTGGGAGAAATAGCGTGGTCTCAGGGAAAGAGCTTGAGCTCTGGATCATCACTAGTTGGCACCACCTGGTGCCAACTGAGCTTCAATTCCCTCATCGATACAATGGAGGTGACGTCAACTCTTGAAAGGGATTAGACCCTGAGGCTGAAAAAATATTGCACATAGAGTTCCTAACTAATAACAAGCAATCAATAAATGGTGACTTTTATCACCATTTTTATTTTAATATTGGAGGCAGTGGTATGTAATGGTTACTTGAATTTGGGAGGTTAAGTTTGTTTTAACCAGAAAATTCTAGTTGTTTCCATCCTCCATGTGGAAGATGTTTCTAAAACATATGCATGCACTTATTTTCCTGCCACAGAACTGAACACAATTGAATTTTTCTGTGATGATTAAGGATCTGGCTGTGCCCTGGGCAATCATTCCGAGAGCGAAGGCTTCTCATTGTTCAGCACTTAGATGCAGATGTGGGAAGTCGTGCAGACCCAAGGTTGGGCATCAACCCCTCCAAGTTAGTCGGTTGTTTGTTTTAAATAAATCTCTGATATCAGAGCACTTTACTAGGGTTTGCCTTTTACTTATCAAAGCAGGTTGGGAAATACGTGTAAGGATTGGCTGTGTTCCCAGTGAAAGGTTGGCTTCTATTTAATCCAAGTTTTGTTTATTCTTTGTTTATGATGCACATGAGTCTTCCCCAAGTGGAAGGAAAGTCTCGTCAATGGCAGAAGCCCAATTTCAGCTGAACCCCAGACCAGGCTGGACCTTTATAATCAGACTGCAGTCACAACTCCTTAAAGTCATCTGTCTGCCCAAATTTATTTGTAACACTGAGTACTTTCTAAGGAAAAGGGAAGTGGAGAGGTGGGAGGTGGGAAATCAACCCATGTTTTTCTTATTAAGTCCTTATGAAGGTTAGAGAGATCAATCACAAATTTTGGAAAAGGAAAGACACATTTAAGTTGGCCCAAGTCAGTTTGGTTCTGGGTTGAAACACTGAGGGGAGGAGGGTTGGTCTGACTCAGGATGGGATAGCCACTGTGTGTTCCATACCCTGTAAGGCTCTGTGACAGTCTCCTCGGGTGCCTTGAACACCAATAGCCTTTACCAGACAGCAGTCTGATGACTTAAGTGTAAATGAGTCAGAAACATACGGATTGCATTTCCCTGAGAAAATAGATCACTTTAAAAACGAAGGGCAAAGTGCTTGGGAAAATGCATTATGGGTTCTGTCAAGGCCAAAAAGGAAGTAAACTACTTCAGATATTCTCTAAATGCCAAATGTGAGTAAGCATTTTGAGGCAAGCACTCTACGGGGGTGTGTATATATGATCGTGTAAACGTCTCAGCTTGGGAACCTCACCAAGATGATGTACATCCGTGTATCGTCTAAGTCCTAGAAAGTGCTTTTTGTGAAAAGCCAAACAGAAATACACATACGAGACAATAACGCTGACTGATATCAAACATTAGAAACTGGAATTTAGCTCAGTGTCTCCTGTAGAAAGCCATTCCCATTCCCCATCCTCCCCCCCACCCTGTTTTTTAACATTCTGACTTGAAAAATATCAAATGGGAAAATCAATGCAAATGTTTGCTATGTGATTTGGGCTGGCAAACAAACAGGCAGATGAAAACCCTTAAAAATGTGCAGCTGTAAATGGATTCTGCTTTAATCAGGCTAAATTTTAGCATCTTTCTAAAGATGGTTGTTAAAATGGATGGGAGAGAAACGCAAAAAATTGCTCTTCACAGCCAGGTTGCCCAGGGATGAAGTGACGGCAGAACCCCCGGGAGCCTGCTGCTGCCCCCTCCCCTGCGTACTCCCCACCCCCAGAGCTGGGCTCCCTGGAGCAAGGAAGGGCTTACTGGTAACCTACAAGGCCTATCTTGGGATGGCCCTGCATTATCCTCTGAGCAATGGATCACCTACAACATCATACTGAGAGCTTGGTAGAGTGAGCACTACAAGGCAAAGAATCTTAGAGGACAAACCAGGTGTGCGGGCAAACTATAGGCACCTTCAATCACCTTCTAGCCGCCCCCCACCTCCAAATTCTTCCCAACCCAGCCAGGACAGGATTATTTGCATCTATTGTCCTGATTCCCCTAGAAACTCTGATGTTTCTCTCACCCTCCCTCGCTCTCTGCTTTTCATCGAGTCCCTTTTTATTCTCCCTCTTCCTATCTCAAAAGTGTCTCTGGGTCTTTTTCTTTTCCTGAGTACTTTTTCCTCTGTTGGGGTTCTTCTCTGTATCTGCTTCTGTCTCCCTCACCTTGTCTCTCTCAGGGGCCCCATGCTTGATGGAACAAGGCCCCTGCATATCCCAACATTTAGGCAGAACTGCCTTGATAAGAACAGGCGGTTTCTTCTTCGTGTCTCAGTTGGGGAGAAGGAATGCTTCTCATTTCCCCCTGATGTGTCTTCATTTAGAGCGATCTCTATTAGTGTAACTTCCACACCTGCTCCTCTCTGTGGGAAAAGAATGGCCTAGAAGGGTGAGCATGTGGAGCAGCCCTACTTCTTCTCCTGCTCAGTGGTTGGCTCTGTCACTTCTCCACACAATGTTGCCAGAGTCAGGGCATACTGTCTCCTGGAAGGGCTCAGTGCACGGGCACACTAAGGCGGTCCTCAGAATCAGCCTTGTCAGAAATGAAGGTGACCTTTCAGCTTGCCCTCAGAAGACTCTCATGCTTCAATTGGGTGGGAATGAGGCTGGCATTCATTAGACTCCCACAAAGATCCCCCCAAGTCCTTATACCCAGAAGTC